TGACCCCCCACTCTCACCACCTGATAACCATGACCCCCCACTCTCACACCTCATAACCATGACCTCCCACTGTCACCACCTCATAACCATGATCTCCCCCTGTCACCACTTGATAACCATGACCTCCCACTGTCACCACTTCATAACCATGACCTCCCACTATCACACCTCATAACCGTGACCCCCCACTGTCACCATCTCATAACCATGACCTCCCACTGTCACCATCTCATAACCATGACCCCCCACTCTCACACCTCATAACCGTGACCCCCACTGTCACCACCTCATAACCGTGACCTCCCACTGTCACCACCTCATAACCATGACCTCCCACTGTTACCACCCCATAACCATGACCCCCCACTGTCACCACTACTCACTCTTATTCCCATCATCTACATCTCAGTCACCATCACCATACCACAGTGCTTGCCACTTCCCCCTCACTGCCACCACCTTCATTATATGAGCACCCCAACTCCAGGTTGCTTTCTGGCTGACAATGGATTTTACTGATGAAGGTAAGGTTTTGAGGGAGACAGTATTGGGTTCAGATTCTGGTCATGGTCATTATTGACTATGTGTCTGTGGGCAAGTTTTTCGATCCACTTTCCTAAGGCACAGAAAGGACAGGATATCCCAATTCAGACCTTGTTTCCTGTAATAGGGAATCCCTGAAAATCACATATTGGCTGCCTAGCCTTCCAGAGGCAGTGGGTTAGGCTGTGAGTCCCTGCAGCCCCATCTCCTCACCCAGCCATGTGGAGGGTCTCCCAGGAGAGCATGACTCATGGGATGGCTTGGTTGAGCCAGCGATCAGAATGATGGTGTGCTGTCACCAAGCCTCTGAGAGATTCCACTTCGTTTCAAAGATCAGATGAAACCCCAGCTGGCGAGCAGCTCCTGCACCCAGAGCTGGGTGTGGAAGACCCCGCCACAGTGAAGGCTTTTTAAGCTTGGCCTTGGAGGAAACTTGCTTCTAGCCCCTGTTTCTTCAAACAAGCTGTCACTAAAGACAGAAGTTTCTCTTTCTGTGGCTACCAGTGCTGAGGGGTCTGATGAATTTCAAAGTGTTTGCTGAAATACCCATTTTGTGTTCTGACATCTGACTCTCAATCCTCTCAGTGCGAAGTTGCTGAGCAACAATCAAGAACCCGCCTGTGCTGCAGTAATCACTGCAGTGGTGACAGCGCCCACCTGGCAGGCGGACAGCAAGGATTAGGTCGGGCAGAACCTGACACACAAAGCACTTGCTCCACATCACTGTTCGACTGTTATTACAATGATTATCACTGGGTGTGAGTTTGCACTGGCCCTGGGCTGGGTCTCTTGTTGAGAAAACTCCACAGCCCTCAAGCCTCCCCCAGCCCAGGACAGGCACATGGCACAGGCAGAGTGGCAGGAGGTTATGGGAGCCATGAGGAACACTTCAAGGGTGCTGTAGACCATGCCTGTTCCTGAGGCTCCTCGTGTGTCCACCAAGGGCCAGCTCCAAGTTCCTGCATGGAGGTTGCCCTCTGACTCTGAGACACATTTCCTGCCCTGGGCTCCAACAGACCTGGGGCACCCCTGAATGCTCATTGTGCCACCAGCCCTGGAGCACCTTGAGGGCATAGACCATGCCCTGCTCATGCCTGAATGACCAGCACCTGGCCCAGCCCTGACAGGGGATACTCAGTGAGCGTGCTGGGGGGCAGGTGCAGGTGTCATACCCATCTACCTCACCAGGGGTGAGAACAGCAGCTGCTCCACTCCCAGGCTGCTTTGCTGAGCCTCTTGCCAAGTTAGGGGGACCCAGAACCACCCAGCCTGAATCTGAGACTTAGCCCTGGCTAAGCTCTACTTCCAGGATGGTGAGGGAACCCAAGAGTCCAGGAGCAGTGGTGGGCAGCAGCAGCTCAGTCTCTGAAACCCACACTTGTCAAGCTTCCCAAGGACAACGCTTTTTGCCCTTCTTGTTTCTAATTAAAAAGAATTAGTCAGCAGAGTGGCATGCTTACGGACAGTGCCAAGGGACATTACTGCATGGCTTTATTCATCAATGGGAGGGGCAGATGCCGTCCTGCTGGAGACTGGCACAGAATCTCGTTCTCTGCGACTAACTGCTTGGAAGCCCAAGCCACCTCCCAGCTGAACCAATGACTCATTAGACTTTTTTCTGACTCCTTCCCCCCCTCTCTCCTTCTCTCCCACCCACCTTTCTTCGGGTTTGGCTGGACCCGCCAAGAAAAGGCATCGTGCAGAAGCACTGTACAGGCATCGAACCCCCTCCCCCTTACAGGTGAACCTGCTGAGGCAAGGAGGGGCTCCCAGAGAGAAGGGGGCAGAAGTGGGCACAGAATCCAGGAGTGTGACTCCTCAATTAGGGAAGAGCCTGACACACAAGGTGGGTTTGCCCCAGACAGAGAGGTCCCTGGGGAAGGGAGGTCTCAGGAGCAGGGACTCAGCCTTGAGCTCAACCTGGTCACTTTCCCTCTCTGGCCTCAGGTCTCTTCAATGAATACTGGGAACATTAAGCCATGTCACCTGCCCAGGGTACAATCTGAGGACAAGTGGAACATTCAGGAGTGGGGTTGTCATCTTCACTCCATCCTGGCTCTGGAGAAAACAACACTCTCTCTCTCACAAATGCCTACAGGAGGCCGAAGAGATGAAAACTGCCTTGGCAAGGGGTCATACCGGCCCTCAGCCCTGGTATCTCTTTCTGGGCTGATAGGGAGGGGCCTGAGTCCATTCCACAGCCTCCATGGAAGGCAACCTTTCAGAAACTAAAGGGAATGTCCCCTGCCAGCCTACGACAGGGATAGGGGCTTGAAGAAGGCATGGTCTAAATCTGTGGACAGTCAGCTAAGCCAGTTTTAGGAAGAGCTATCAGTCCACTTGTGGCCTCAGAGCCTGATAGTCAATCATCACTACCATCATTATCACCCATAACACCCACCTGGCCAACACCCTCATTGCCTCCACCAAAACCAAATGTTACCACCTCCACCAATTCCAACACTGACACAAATGCCCTCATTACCACCCCCAACCTATCACTTTTGACATCACCATGATGGTTATTACTGTCATTACTCTCACCATCGTCATCACTATCTCAGATAATGATATCATCATTGTCTTCACCATCATAACTATTACCGTCATATGAGCATCAGCATCACCATTATCATAATCATTACTATCATTATTATTGATAGTGATATCACCATCACCACCATCACCATCATTATCACCACCATGACCATCATTATCTTCACCATTATCACTATCACCATCATCATCATCACCATCACCATCATAATCTTCATCATATCACCATCATCATCACCGCCATCACCATCACCATCATCATCATCAACACCATGATGGATAATATAATCGTTGTCTTCACCATCACAACCATCATCATCATCATTATCATCATCACCATTACCACCACATCATTAACGCTATGATGGATAATATCATCGTCTTCACCAATATAACCATCACCATTACTATCATCACCATCACCATCAACACTACCACCACTATCATCATCATCACCATTATCACCATCATCATCACTATCACTGTCATCATCACCATCATTACTATCACTATCACTGATAGTGATATCAACACCATTATTAGCAGCAGCAGTATCACCATCACAATCATCATCACCATCATCCTCAAGAGTTCACCACCACTATCATGATTATCACCATTATTACCACTGTCATTCTCATGACCTTCATTACAACACCATTGTCTCAGGACAAAACCTGAGTGGCTCCTGAGGAGTGGATGGGGAGGTGATGGGCCAGTGGGCAGCTGTGCAAGCCTGGAAGACTCTGTCCCTTTCCTCTCTGTCCAGGCAAGGGTCAAAAGGCTCCAGAAGGAATACATCCGTGGGATCAGAGATGGGATGACTCTAAGGTGTGAGGTCCCAGGGAGTCAAGCTCCCCTGACACACCCTCAGCTAGTGAGTCGGATTCCTTGCTCACTCCTAGTTTGCTTAGCAAGGAGCCCTCATGTTGATTTCTTTTTTTGTTCAACAATGCTTTATTGGAGACTTCCTTTGGTGATGGGGGCACCGGGGAAGTCCATAGGTGATTCATCACACCCTGACGTTGAGGAGTTTCTGGTTTGTTTGCAGGTGGCCTTTGCCAGAGATAAGAAGTGCTGAGAGCTGCAGGGGTCCAGGGATGGCTCACCCTCAGGGAGGCACAAACACCCTGAGAACTGGGACACCAGGGAGGGGAGAGTTGGGCAGGGACCTGTCAGCCACCTCACAGAGAAGAAGACTGGAGTCTAGGTGGGTGCCCCGAAGGAGTTCCATCAACTGTAGCCTCCTTCCAGTGCCTCTAGCACCCTGGACTCCCACCCTCTGCTGGCGTCGGTGCTCCCAGCCTGGTGAGAGCAGGGACCCAGGGCCCTTGATTCCAGCTGTGATCCCAGTTGGGAGGCAAGTCCCCTTCTCCACCTCTCCCCACACTCGCTCTCCCAGCCTCCTCTCAAGGAAAGCCCACCTCTTGCTCCAGCAGAACAAGGGTGGAGGGCCTGGGTCTTCAACCATGTTGACCATGTTTATTCTGCTCAGGACCTGGCTGGATGGCTTGATTCTACTCACCCCCCACCCCCACCCCACTTCCATTCCTGCGAGGGGAGTACTAGGTACAGCCCTGAGCAAAACAAACTTGGCCATGTGCAGAAACATGAGAGACCCATGAGGAATCATCTCTCTGCACCATTTCAGAGGCAGACTCCAGAGGGAGACCACTCTCATCACCCAGGATCCTGCAGAGCGATGGTCAACCCTGCTGAGAACAGCTACTGTCTCAGGTCAGACTCCCTGGAAGGAGAGCATACAATGAGGCCTTTTGTTCAAGAGCTTTGCTAAGGGAGTCTCTCAAAAGAAGCAGGACTGTGAGGGGAAAGAGCTGGGCAAGGCTTTGTTCATAGCCAGAAGCCAGTTTCAGTTGGTCTCACTGGGGGCTCTGGGGCATGAAACCACTGAGTGAATGCCCCTGGAGGTGGAGGGCAGCTTACCCAATCCCATGCCAGTCAGTGCAACAAATTTCCCAGAACCGCGGAGTGCCAGACAGCAGGAACCGTTTGTACTCTCTCTTGGTTTCTTTAATCAGGAACTCATAAGGGGCTCAGCTCAGGGTGGCTCTGAGCTACAGCGGAGGTGCCAGCTGGGCTGGGTCATCTGAGGGTTCCACTGAGGAGGCGTCTGCTTCTAAGCTTAGTCACACAGCGTCTGGCAGAGGCCTCAGTTCCTCACTCGTTGTCGACTGGAACACACACACGACAGCTCCCCGGGGGGCCCAGGTCGACTTCCTCAGACCCAAGTCGTTCCTGACCCTTCCTGGCCCTTGCGGGGACATCAGTGAGCAGCAAAACCGCCGAGGGCTCAGCGCTTCTCCTTCAGCACCTTGGACAGAGCTCGTCCAGGGCCGCGGGAGCTCTGGAGCTGTCAGGTGCGCAGGCAACAGCCCTGCGCTGTGTGGGCAAGGGGCAGGTGGCAGGGGCCCACCCCTCCAGGTGTTTCTGGACAGTCTGAGGGCCGGACCCTTCTCCCCTGGTGGCCCCAGGGCAAATGCCCCAGGGAACTGCGAGTGAAAGGGGAGTGCAGGGAGGGCGGGGAGACACAGCCATCTCGCTCTGGGGTCAGGGTCGCCTCCGCCCCTTGCTCACTCAGGCTCCTCACGGAAAATGGCAAGGATGGGGCCTCCCCTCAGAGGCTTGTCGGGGGGCACCGCAGGAATGAGGTACAGTGAGGGTCACCGCTCTCTAGTGGTCTGCCTACCCCACCCCTTGCCAGTTTCATCCGGTGAAGCCCAGGGTCCCTCTTCTCCGAGTGTGATGAAGGAGGCCCCACGCACACTCACAGCCAGTGAGGTAGTGGTCACTGTCTGGGGCCATGGCCCTGGAGGCAAGGCTGTGGTGCTGGTGAGGCAGAATCGTGATGCTGGAGGAGGTAGCACCATGGTGCCGTGTAGGGGGACAGCATCCTAGAGGGCACTGGAAGGAGGAGGCTGCTGCTGAGGTTGCCGGGAGAGGGGCCACCCCATCCAGTACCATGGCCCCGCCCCATCCAGCACCATGGCCCCGCCCCATCCAGCATCTTGGCCCCTCCCCCTTCAACACCAGGACCCTGCCCCATCCGGGACCACGGCCCAGCTCCAGTAACTCCTGGGAGAGGGAAGATCTGTGCCTCTTCTCTGCAAGGTCCCAGTCCCTAGGTTCAGCCAGTGTCCCCACAGGGCCCCTTGATGCAGGGGCTGTCTGAATGGATACAGGGCAAGGCAGAACTTTGCATCCCCTGAGGGCCACTGCCAGCAGGGCATTCTGGGGCCATCCCACCCTGGGACCTCCCAATACCCTGCCAGTCCTTCTTGCCATGTCTCAGGACAGCCTCCTGACCCCTGTAGTAAAGAGGCCACTAGTACTAGCTGGTGACTGAGAGAGACCAAAGCCCAGGAACCCATGGCCTCTGAGGGTGGAGCCTGGAGTAAAGGGGTCTTTGTTCTGGTGCCCAGGGGACCCCCCCACTGCTGAGAAGGTGTAGCCCTGGGTGCTCTCCCAGGAGCCACCTGGACAGGCTGGGGGTCCAAACTTGGGGGACTTCAGCTGTGACACCTCTCCTCCCACTACAATGAGTCAGCTCCCCCGTCCACCCCCAGGACTCCTGCCTGTCACCCAGAGGACCTGCACCCTCAGTCAATGTGGAGCTGTGATGGGGGCGAGAGGAGAGGAGTGTGGCCAGGGACGGCACTGAGTCACCGAGGGGGAGGAGGCAGGAAGACAGCTCTTGGCTTCTCTGGGTTAAGAGCAAAGCACACACCTGCGGACACCCATCCCGTGGTCTCACCCTCCATACGGTCCACAGGGGACGGGGCCAGGGCTCAGTGCGTGCCTGGGGTTGGAGTAGAGTAGGAGCCAGGGCCGGGTCTGGTCCTCCTGTCCAAACTGCCAGAAAGAAGCATCAGTTATTAGGCTCCAGCTCTGGTCTTCGAGCCTCTGTTGGCCCATACATGTCCACGTTCCACACTTGCTACAGGCCCTCAAGTGTGCCCTCCCAGCATCCGTCCCTGCAGCCATGGCCTCCATTCATCCTGCACGTCATGTAGGAAACACACTGCCTGCCCTGTGCCTGGCACTCCAGCCCCCGAGGAACTAGCCTGGTGCGAGCCCAGGAAGGAACAACTTTCCCGTTGACACCGAGGAGTCCGCGCTTGGGCACCGAGGTCTCCCTAGGGGAAGGGGGGAGCCAGAGGAAAGTGGGAAGATTTGAGGGTGGAGTGTTCTGGGCAATGACAGGGACCTGGGGTGGCCATGGGAGGGGACAGCAGAAGGTATGGGAGGGGGGCCATTGGAGGTCTGGAAGGAGAGGCGAGCTTTTCTGAGCTGTCCCTGGGAACAAGGACAGAAAGGCGAGGAGGAAGAAAGCAGGCTGCACAGGCCCTCCTCCCTGTCCCCCATGAGGCCTCAGGGAGCGCCTGCCCGGCACCAGGCCCCTGTCCACCTAGCCCGTCCTGTGGCACAACCTCTAATGCCTGCCCTTCCCTGCATTTCCTGGGCTCTCCCCAGTAACCCACCTCCCCAGGAGTTGGACCCAGGCCCCCGTCCCAGTGAAACTGGGGCCTTTGGGAGCCCCAAGGAAATGCGGCTCCCCCAGCCCTGCTGGCCCCTTGCTGCCCCAGGCCCCACCCCAGCTCCTGCCAGGGATCCCTTGCTACAGGCCCCAGGCCCCACTCCAGCCCCTGCCACAGAGGCCCCAGGCCCCACCCCAGCCCCTGCCAGGGGCTTCCTTGCTTCCTCCACGTCCTTCCTTTCCTCCGAAATTTGCATCTCACCTTCCTGCAGGGTCACTGCACTCTGCCTTCCAGAGGCCCTCTGGGATCCTCTGATCCTGGCTCCGCTGCCATCCCTTAGGTCATACAGTGCCTGTGGCTCACACACGCCTTCACTGCCCAGATCCACGCCTGCCCGGCCCCTGGCTGTCCTGCTTCTGGGCTGATCCGGGAGGAAGCTGCTTTCTGGGTCGGGGGCACCTGCAATCCCTGAAGAGTCCGGCAGAGGGCACTGTTTCCTCCCCCGAGAGAAAACACAGCAAGCCCGGGTCTGTGTGGAAGGGGGTCTGTGCCAGTCACCCATCCGCGGGGTCCACACCTGGCAGCACAGCCCTGCCTCCAGCTGAGAGGCTATCCTGGGAGGGGCTGTGACCAAGGAGGCGACAGTCCCACCTGGCCGTCCAGCCTCTGCCTAAGCAGCAGCCAGTGATCTCAGACACCGGGAGCCGCCATGGCCTCCCACCCTCTGGCCTCTGCCTCCCACTGGCCCCCTGGCTGCCCGGGGCTGGCCCACAGCTAGAAGGTCAACTCCTGTCCACGGGCACATCCCCTACCCAGCTCCCGCCCAGCCCTGGGCAGTCTGGGCCACAGCTGCTCCCCCAGGGTTAATCCCTGGCCCTGCTGCTGACACAGGGGCTCGAGGTGCTGAGCAGTATGCCTAGGGCAGTGGGGCCAGAAGGGGACAGCCAGACTGCCAGAGAGGGAGTGTGTGCAGAGGCTGGCATCCCGGGGCCCAGTTCCTGGCAGCCCCTGGCAGTCCCAGGAGACACTGACATGATGGGCATTTGTACCCACTGATGCTGTCGGATACCTGTGGCAGCCCCAGGCCGGCTCCTCCCAGGGTCCGTGGCTCCAGCCTGCTCTTTGACCGGGAAGAGCCATCCAGGCAGAGGCCACTCCACAAGGGCGTCTGGAGTTGGAGGCCTGTGGTGGTCCCTGAGCTCCAACCTACTGTGCCAGGTGTGGACTTTTGGGGCATGAAATTTCTCAGGTAGGGTAGGCACCAGCCAGATTCGAGGGCCAGGGCACTGCCCAGCAACCCCTCCGCCAAGGTGCCAGAGAGCGGGACACACCGGCACAGCATCACCCAGAGTGAAGCCAGGGGTCCCTGGAGTGTCCCGAGTCCCCTGCAAAAGGGGCTGTTGTGGGGACACCCCACAGCCCACCACCTGGCCTTGCCCTCTCCACATCTGCTAAGGTGCAAATGTGACCCCTCCAAAACCCAAGTGTTACCACCATGATAGGATTGAGAGGTGATGAGTCCGTGAGGCTGCTCTCCTGTGGGCCCAAGGCCCTTACGAGGCTCCACACAGCGCCCCTGCCCTGCCCTCTGCCTTCTGCCATGGAAGGGCGCGGCAGGAAGTCCCTCCCGTGACCAGACCTGGTGCCCAGACCTTGGACTTCCTGCCTCCAGAGCTTTGAGAAATAAATCTCTGCTCTTTAGAAATTACCCAGCCCAGGCAAATTGTCGTTAGGGCCACAAATGGACCAAGACACCCTCTCACCATCCCTGGTACCCCACAGGCCAGAGGAGAGTGGGGAGGGAGGCAGCTCTGCCCTAGGCTCCGGTGCACAGGAACCATGTGTCGGGAGGCCAGGACTGACTGCAAGCATCGCCTTGGTCTCCCCACCTAGGCGTTGGGGACAGGACAGGACTCTGCTCCCCACCTTGGCGAAGAGTCTGATTTTTTTTTTTTTTCTTGAGCTAGAGTTTCACTCTATTGCCCAGGCTGGGTGCAAGTGGGTGTCATTGGCCCACTGCAACCTCTGTCTCCTAGATTCATAAGCAATTCTCCTGCCCAGCTCCCAAGGTGCTGGATTACAGGCACCCACCACCACGCCTGGCTAATTTTTGTATTTTTAGTAGAGACAGGGTTTCATCATGTCAGCCAGGCTGGTCTTGAACTCCTGACCTCAAGTGATCTGCCTGCCGTGGTCTCCCAAAGTGCTGGGATTACAGGTGTGAGCCACCGTGCCCCACCAGGAGTCTGACTTTGTCCACAGCAGAGACCCAGCATCCTAGAGGTGCGTGCTGTGTGACCTTGGGCAAGGCCCTGTTCCTCTCTGTTCCTGGGGTGTAACTACCTGTTCCCGCTGCAGGGTCGTGGACAGCACTGACTGGGAGGAGGTGCTGGGGCTACCAGTGCTCCAGAGGATGGGGGGCACAATTAGGCAGGGACAGTGTGGAGGGGAAGGAGGCTGCAGGAGAACTGGGGACCCGTGGCCCAGCACCCAGTACAGCCTGAAACCCTTCTCATCATCTTCCTGGCTCTGGGCTCCAGCTCCCTCTGTCTGAGGCCTGTGGGGCGCGCGCGCGCACACACACACACACACACACACACACACACACACACATCAAATCCCCTGCTCACCAGGGCCCCAGCCGAGCACAACTCCTCCAGCTGGCTGTGCAGCAGAGAAGTCCCAGCTCGGCTCAGAGGGGCTGGGCTTGTTCCCTCCCTGCCCTCCTACAGCAGCTCCTCTGCAGGTGCCAGCAGCTAGCGAAGCATGACGCAGGCCACTTACTCAGCACCCCAGGCTGACTCACCTCCCAGGTACCCAGACCCTCCTCAGTGGAAGGAGGGCTTTGTGTTTGGGCCTGTGCGTCAGCACAGAGCAGCATAGAGCCCCTGACGTGCCAACAACAGTGGGAGCACGTCCTGGGATGGGCACCTTTGGGGAGCCCTTTCCAGGTGTAGGGGGCAACAGTGCATGGGGCAGAACCTCCCCCTGCCACCCTTCCCCCATGCGCCCTTGTGGGTGGTTGCTGTGAGCTGGAGGGAGACAGTGAGAAGCCTGGAGGCCGTGGGGACTAGGGGGGTGCCGGGAGAGAACGCTGACGCCGGAAACGTCCACGGGGACCAAGGGGATGCCGGGAGAGAACGCTGACCCTGGAAACATCCGTGCGGACCAAGGGGGTGCCGGGAGAGAACGCTGACCCCAGAAACGTCCACGGGGACCAAGGGGGTGCCGGGAGAGAACGCTGACCCCGGAAACGTCCACGGGGACCAAGGGGGTGCCGGGAGAGAACGCTGACCCTGGAAACGTCCAGGCTGTCTGGGGAGGTGAGTTCCTTCACAGGAAGGGTTTGTGGTGGCCATGACCCCAGTGGCCATGTGGCTGAGGTCCTGGGCAGTGGCTTCCTGACTGAAAGACCCTGAGCCCACCCTGAAGCCCCACAGCTTTTTCTCCACCTCAGAGACTTTCCGGGGCTCAGTCTTGCGGCGGCCCTCGTGGCGCTCGGGAGGCAGTGGGTGGACCATGAGTGTGAGTTAGGAAGCAGAACTGCCCACCTCCAAAATGGGTGCCCAGGAGAGCAAACACAGGACCCGCTCCTCCAGGCCTCAGCCCCCCTCTGGAATAAGGTGAGAAGACCCTCCGTCACAGGCTGCCCTGAAGAAGGGTGCAGGAGCCCCGCTCAGCCTGGACCCCAGGCAGCAGAGTCCAAATCCAGACAGCAGGAGAGGAGGGCTCCACACCCTACCGGAGGAGCCGGGATCTCAGTTGGCCCGCTCCAAGGGTCATTCACACCTGCAGCCCCACCAATCTGCTGCCCCTCTCAGGGACCCTGTCCTCCACCTGTAAAGTGGGGATGCTGGGCAAGGCGGGTATGAAGTCAGGGGGAGACTGACAAGGAGCACATTGTGAACTCTGGTACTGAGGTCACCAGGGAGAGGCCTGGCCCCACTTCCTGTGGAGTGGGGAGACCTGGCCCAGTAGGTCCAGGAGGGAGCAGTCACAGCAGGCCAGCCAGTAAGGGCCAGGGTGCCAGATGTACAAGCATATGGGTGCTGAACAGACAGGCATATGGGTGCATGGACTGACAGGGGGATAGGTAGATGGATGGACAGGCAGATGGGTGGATGAATGGACAGGAAGATGGGTGGATGGACTGACAGGGGGATAGGTGGATGGATGGACAGGCAGATGGGTGGATGGACTGACAGGGGGATAGGTGGATGGACTGACAGGGGGATAGATGGATGGACGGACAGGGGGATGGGTGGATGGACTGACAGGGGGATAGATGGATGGACTGACAGGGAGATAGATGGATGGATGGATAGGGGGATGGGTGGATGGACTGACAGGGGGATAGGTGGATGGATGGACTGACAGATGGGTGGATGGTCGGAAAGGGGGATGGATGGATAGACAGACAGGCAGATGGGTGGATGGACGGACAGGCAGATGGGTTTATGGACTGACGACAGATGGGTGGATGGTCGGAAAGGGGGATGGATGGATAGACAGACAGGCAGATGGGTGGATGGACGGACAGGCAGATGGGTTTATGGACTGACAGGGGAATAGGTGGATAGACGGACAGGAGGATGGGTGCCAGATGAACAGGCAAATGGGTGGATGGACAGACAGGCATATGGGTGCTGGATGGACAGGTGGATGGGTGGGCAAACAGGGGGATGGGTGGATGGATGGACAGGGGGATGGGTGGATGGATGGACACGGGGATGGGTGGATGGACTGACAGGGGGATAGGTGGATGGATGGACAGGCAGATGGGTGGATGGACAGACAGACATATGGGTGCTGGATGGACAGGTGGATGGGTGGGCAGACAGGGGGATAGGTGGATGGATGGACAGGCAGATGGGTGGATGGTCGGACAGGGGGATGGATGGATAGACAGACAGGCAGATAGGTGAATGGACGGACAGGCAGATGGGTTTATGGACTGACAGGGGGATAGATGGATGGACGGACAGGGGGATGGGTGCCAGAGGAACAGACAGATGGGTGGATGGACAGACAGGCGTATGGGTGCCGAATGGACAGGCGGATGGGTGGATGGATGGACAGGCGGATGGGTGGACAGACAGACAGGGGGATGGGTGGACGGACGGACAGGGGGATGGGTGGACGGATGGACAGGCGGATGGGTGGACAGACAGACAGACAGGGGGATGGGTGGACGGACGGACAGGGGGATGGGTGGATGGACAGACAGACTTCTACCACTCAGCACTGCTTGGTTTTCAATACTCAAACGGCCCGTAGATTTATGTCTACAGCTTCAACACTGGCTCAGCCGGACGCTCATGGTGGAGCAGGAGATGTGGGGAGGGAGGGCCAGCACCAGCGGAGAAAAGGGAGGACAGGGTGGGCATCTTGGCCCCAGGAGACCCACAGCAGC